AGATTGAAGCTCAGAGGAGATCGGGCTTTTTCAGTCATGGACCCTAAAATTTGAAACAATCCCCCCCCCCATACCCCCCCCCCCATGTCAGGCAGGCCACTTCATTTCCTGTTTTTAAATCTCTGCTAAATGATCGATTGCTAAATTGAGAGCTTCGCCTTTTGACTCAGCTCTCTCTTCACCACGACAGACCTGTACAGCGCCTGCTTCACTGCTGACACTGCACCTATCCACCTATCGATCTCACGCTCCATTTTTCCCTCATTCGTGAACAAGACCCCAAGATACTTAAACTTCTCCACTTGGGGTAGGACCTCCTCCCTGACCCGGAGAGGGCACTCTACCCTTTTCCGGCTCAAGACCATGGCCTCGGATTTGGAGGAACTGATCTTCATCCCAGCCGTGTCGCATTCGGCTGCGAACCGCTCCAGTGAAAGCTGTAGATCACAATCTGATGAAGCCAATAAGACCACATCATCTGCAAAAAGCAGAGACGCAATCCTAAGGCCACCTAAACGGATCCCCTCAACACCTTGGCTGTGCCTAGAAATTCTGTCCATAAAAGTTATGAACAGAATCGGTGACAAAGGGCAACCTTGGCGGAGTCCAACTCTCACAGGGAACAAGCCCGACTTACTGCCGGCGATGCGGACCAGGCTCTGACACCGGTCATACAGGGACCTAACAGCCCGTATCAAAGGTCCCGGTACCCCATATTCCCAGAGTACCCCCCACAGGGTTCCCCGAGGGACGCGGTCGAACGCCTTCTCCAAGTCCACAAAGCACATGTAAACCGGTTGGGCAAACTCCCACGCACCCTCCAGGACCCTGCTGAGAGTGTAGAGCTGGTCCAGTGTTCCACGGCCAGGACGAAAACCACACTGCTCCTCCTGAATCCGAGGTTCGACTATCCGAGGGACCCTCTTCTCCAGAACCCCCGAGTAGACCTTACCAGGGAGGCTTAGGAGCGTGATTCCCCTGTAGTTGGAACACACTCTACGGTTCCCCCTTTTTGAATAGGGGGACCACTACCCTGGTCTGCCAATCCAGGGGAACTTCCCCCGATGTCCACGCAATATTGCAGAGTCGCGTAAGCCAACACAACCCTACAACATCCAGAGCCTTAAGGAACTCCGGGCGAATCTCATCCACCCCTGGGGCCCTGCCACTGAGGAGCTTTTTAACTACCTCGGTGACCTCAGCACCAGAGATTGGAGGGCCCGACCCAGAGCCCCCAGGCTCCGCTTCCTCAGTGGAAGATGTGCCGGTGGGATTGAGGAGGTCTTCAAAGTATTTCGCCCACCGACCCACAACATCCCGATTTGAGGTCAGTAGCACACCACTCCCACTATAAACAGTGTTGGTGGCGTACCGCTTTCCCCCCCGAGACGCCGGATGGTGGACCAGAATTGCCTCGAAGCCGTGCGGAAGTCATTCTCCATGGCCTCTCCGAACTCCTCCCATGCCCGAGTTTTTTGCCTCAGTGACCACCCGAGCCGCATGTCGCTTGAACTGCCGGTACCCATCATCTGCTTCCGGGGTCCCACAGGCCAAAAAGGCCCGATAGGATTCCTTCTTCAGCCTGACAGCATCCCTCACCGACGGTGTCCACCATCGGATTCAAGGGTTGCCGCCGCTACAGGCACCGACAACCTTGCTGCCGCAGCTCCGGTAAGCCGCCTCGACAATAGAGGCACGAAACATGGTCCACTCGGACTCAATGTCCCCCACCTCCCTCGGAACATGTTCGAAGTTCTCCCGGAGGTGGGAGTTAAAACTCTGTCTCACAGGAGACTCTGCCAGACGTTCCCAGCAAACCCTCACAATACGTTTGGGTCTGCCAGGTCTGACCGGCATCCTCCCCCACCATCGGAGCCAACTCACCACCAGGTAGTGATCAGTGGACAGCTCCGCCCCTCTCTTCATCCGAGTGTCCAAGACATGCGGCCGCAGATCAGATGAGACAATGACAAAATCGATCATCGAACTGCGGCCTAGGGTGTCCTGGTGCCAAGAGCACATATGGACAGCCTTATGCCTGAACAAGGTGTTCGCTATTGACAATCCATGACGAGCACAGAAGTCCAACAACAGAACACCACTCCGGTTCAGATCAGGGGGGCCGTTCCTCCCAACCCCACCCCTCCAGGTCTCACTGTCATTGCCCACATGAGCATTGAAGTCCCCCAGCAGAACAAGGGAGTCCCCAGGAGGTGCACTTTCCAGTACCCCCTCCAAGGACTCCAGAAAGGGTGAATAATCTGAACTGCCGTTTGGTGCATAAGCACAAACGACAGTCAGAACCCGTCCCCCCACATGTAGGCAGAGGGCGGCCATCCTCTCATTTACCAGGATGAGCCCCAACACACAGGCACCAAGTTGGGAGGCAATAAGTATGCCCACTCCTGCTCGGCGCCTCTCACCAGGGGCAACTCCAGAGTGGAAGAGTATCCAGCCCCTCTCAAGGAAACTGGTTCCAGAGCCAGAGCCATGCGTAGAGGTGAGTCCGACTATTTCTCGGAACCTCTCAGCCTCACACACCAGCTCGGGCTCCTTCCTCACCGGTGAGGTGACATTCCACGTCCCAATAGCCAACTTCTGTAGCCGAGGATCAGACCGCCAGGGTCCCCGCCCTCGGCCACCACCCATCCCACATTCCACCCAACCCTTTGGCCCCTCCCACAGGTGGTGAGCCCATGGGTAGGGGGACCCACGTCTCCTCTTCGGGCTGTGCCCGGCCGAGCTCCATGGATAAAAGCCCGGCCACCAGGCGCTCGCCCGCGTGCCCCACCTCCAGGCCTGGCTCCAGAGCGGGGCCCCGGTGACCCACGTCCGGGCAAGGGAACATTAGGTCCGTTTATTTTTCTCATCAAAGGGGTTTTTGGGCTGCACTTTGTCTGGTCCCTCACCTAGGACCTGTCTGCCATGGGTGACCCTACTAGGGGCGTAAAGCCCCTGACAGCATAGCTCCTAGGGTCATTGAGACACTCAAACCCCTCCACCACGGTAAGGTGGCAGCCCATGGAGGGGCTAATAATAATAATAATAATATAATTTAATATAATTTAATTAAATTTAATTAATAATTTTAATTAAAAATTAATTATTTTAAAATATTTATTCATTCAACCTTTATTTAGACAGGTAAATCCCATTGAGCCTCGAGGACTCATTTACAAGAGAGACCTGATTTCAACAAAGAATGATGACAACAATGGACAACAGCAACAACAATAAACAGTTATAAAAAGTCATACTACAGTTTTTTTGTTTTTTTTAACTAATAGGATGGCTAAAAGAAAAAGGTAACAAAAAACAGCTAGATTCTAAGGCAAATGTAGAAAACTAAAAACAGGAACATGTCTGCATTGGTCCCTGCCAGGATTCCAACAGATTCTTAAAGACACTTAGAGAGGTCAAAGGTCGAGAGCTTCAAATCTTTTTGTAAGATATTCCAGGAAACAGGAGCGGAGTAGGAGAAGGTCCTTTTGCCTAGTTCAGTCCTCATTTAGCAGCTGATGCACATTTGTGTAGCACAGAGCTGCATAAAAAGCTTCCTCCCACATCTTTGTGCATCTCATACTGCAGGATAGACTTCCTGCTGCAGCTGATCAGCTGTTCTGCATGCAGAGCTGAGAAGTGGGCGTGGCCAAGAGTGCTTGCAGGTGACAAAAAACAGCGAAGGCAGGGAGCTGAATCATGACATGCTGTGCTCTTTTAGAGCGTTTAGAGTTTAGAAACATTGTTTAGAATATCGCAAGAGTGTGGGAAGGTTTTTAAAATTCCTTAATCTATGTATCAATACTACAATAAACTATTTGTTCTACTATTCCTACTTTGCAATTTTTCACTTATCGCGGGGCTTCAGGGTACGGATCCCCTGCGATAAACAAGGGTCTACTGTACATGTTTTTCTTTTACCATACCATACCATACCATACCATACCACTTTATTTATAAAGCACTTAAAACAGCTACAAGGCCAACCAAAGAGCTGTACAGACAGAACAACAGGTAACACACAAAGCAACATACAAAATGAGGTCAATCAGAATATAGACAAAAAAACGATGCAGATAATGACGACAAACCAGTGTGGAGCATACAGGATCAAACACAGATCATCTGGTGTTGAAAGATACTGAATAGTAGTGGGTTTTTAAATGGGACTTGAAAACCGAGAGGGGGGGGGCCAGTCTGACCTGTCTGTCTGTCTTTTGATCCTTGCAATTAATTTTCAGTACTGTCATTATTTTTATTGTTACTTTTTTCATTAAATTACTCCCATTGAATTTACTGTTAAAAATGTTGGTAACAGCTGCTGTTTCAAATGGGCTTTATAAATAAATATCCTGATGCATGCTCAATAATCCAGGTAGAAAAATCTAAAAAAGTTAAATCTGGTCCTCTGGACATTCAAAAAAACAAAACAAAGCAAAACAACAAAAAAATGTAGAAACGTTTCGTCTCTCATCCGAGAGACTTCCTCAGTCTGAGGTGCTGTATTCAGCTCAGTTGAGTTTTAGACTTTATAAATAAAGTTGACTTGACTTGACACTTTTTGTCCTTACTGTGGTGTTTTTTGTTTTCTCTTGTCGCAGGTAAAGAGGAGCTGCCATGTTGGCCTCCTCCATGACCTCATTCGCCCTCCTTCTCCTCCTTGTCGTTCTACTCTCTTACTCCCACCCTGCAGACGTTTCCATGCAGTGGGTTAAGCTTGAGGGCTCCCCTCTGTCTCATCTCTTGTTGGATTCGGAGGCAGGACATCTGTATGTAGGTGGAGTTGATCACCTGTACCAGCTGACATCTGACCTGGAGATGATGTCGCACGTGAAGACCGGCCCTCACCTAGACTCTCCAGACTGTCTCCCCCCAATTGTTCCTCAAGAATGTCACTCAGCTATGCCCACTAACAACTATAATAAGCTGCTGTTGATGGAAGCGGGACAGGGTGCGGACCCAGGGAGCTTGATTGTCTGTGGGTCGCTCTTCCAAGGAATCTGTGACAAAAGGTAATTTGTTGTTTTTGTAAGGGGTGTCTGAGGAACTCAAGTTCTGAAGCGTAGGATGTCAAACTCATAGTATTTTTCCAATTGTTGAACTATTTTCAGCTCCTAACTCACCAACCGTTCCTTATCCAGCGTAAATGATCCTAAATCAGACAAGTAGCTTAAACAGGTGTGCACACTTCAACATCCCAAACAAAAGATCTGGACCAAAGAAACATAAAATCCTATGGTGGTTAGGCACAAAGGCAGACATGACAGAATCTTTTTGCTGGTTTTCATGATGTGCCTCTTCCACCAGAAGGGACAGTGTCCATAAGCTGCTGTGTCATAGAGAAATTCAGTTTGCTTATAAAGCATCAATAGGACAATCTGACTTTCTGCTCAACCACAAATTTAGGAGGAGCAGTGTGGCTTTAGTCTGAGTCATGAACCAGTGAACCAGCTTGTCACCCTTGCAGAGTAGCCTTTGATCCTGTTCTGCAAGTCATTTTGTGGGGGATGCTGGGTTCACTTTAAGCTTGGAATAGAGCCGCTGCTCCTCTGCATCAAAAGGTGACATGGTTTGAGTTCAGGATGGCTCCCAGATCTTTGAAGGTTTTCCAGGCACATCCTGAAGTACACAAGCTGTGGAGGAGAGGGGTACCGCCAGAAGTCTTAACACCATTTCTTTAGTCTCTTTGGTGTTTCCCTGAAGCTAGTTTGTGTTGCACCATCCAACCAATTTTTATTGAGAGACTACTCAGCCTCTTCAGCCTCCCTACCACTGAGGTGCTCCTGTACTGCCCAGTATTTTTCTGGAAAATAGGTCACACATCAACTAAGTTTAATTAGTATTTTGCAAAACCTCTGGATACAAAATTACACAACCTTCAGTATAAACCCTAGGTCACTTGCCTTGGCAGGGCGCTCATCTCTTTCGGGAGTTTTGTTGAAGTGGGGGTGGAGACTAGAGAATGACACGGGAGAAGATTTTCACTCCTGTCCTGTCGTGGTCCCACAGAAAAAAAATCCTGTCCTGTCCTGTCCCACTCCTGGTAACATTACTCCTGCTCCCATCTTGCTCCCATTCAGAATCACTCCCACTCCTGCACTGCTCCTGTTTTTTTTTTTTGTTTGTTTTTTTTTGCTTCTTCCATTTAGTCTTTAGGAAATGCATTGAATTTGATTTAATCTTCTACCTATTCATTTTTATATTGCTTTGTTGTTAGCACATTACAGACTGGAGAATTGCAAGTGATTTTTTTACAGAGCAATTACATAGTCATACATCAGCAGTAATTAACATAAGTGTTGAAAGTGTGAATTTTTCCATAGATTTAAAATCTCAGCATATTTTACAATTTCAGCATCACATTTGTAGTTTCACAGTCATCATACAATCAAAAAATCCACTTTAGATTGTAGGGCCATCTCATTCACCCACCTAGATAAGCCCACTATCATGCAGGTATCCATTCACATGGGCAGAGCTCATCCAACCATGCAAACAAGACCCACTCATCTTCACGAGTTGAGTACCCGCTGGTCTCTAGCGCAGATCAAAAGTAGCTCTTTGAAGTCTTAATGAATATGTTATCTTTTCCATTTGGTACAATTACCTTACTTTATGAACCCAGAAGCTGTAGGAGGGTGGCTCCAATTGCATCCATTTATTTTTTTTGCATTTCAGGGCTGCTGTAAAAAGAACATTTAAAATATATAATTTGGTTTGTCCTTGCAACCCAACTGGGGTAATACCGAGCACTGCAACCATTACATCCTTTGGTATAACCTCCTGAAAGATCTGCTTTAAAGCCTTGTACACATCATCCCAAAAATGTTGTAGTTTGGGGCATGACCAAAAGATGTGTGTGTGTGACTGGGCACAGCTGAGCCGCAGTTTCTCCAACACAAGCTTGGTACTTTAGGATCTATCTTAGCAACTACATCTGGGGTCCTGAAATATCTACTGATGATTTTCCATTTATATTCCCGCCACATATTTGAGTTTGTAACTTGAGTCCAAGCACCTTCCCATGTTTCATCAGGAATCACTTTGGCCGTCTCTGCATCCCATCTTTGTTGTATCTGAGTGGGTTCATTGAAATTCATGGAAAGAAACACCTTATATAACTTTTCTATCAATTTCTTATCCCCTTCACCGTTTTGGAATTGAATAAGTGCAGCCCGACAGAGGCTCTGTCAGGCTGTCTCTGTGTGCCTGTTTATGTCTCGGGTTGGGTTTTAGGTGGTCCCCTCTCTTGGATCAATTTGGGCCCCCCATTTAATGTGGGGTCTACTTCCCCCTATCGTGCTCCCCTCCGGTGGTGGGACCCCTGCCGCCGGTGCATTGGTGGCTCTCGACATCTGGGGCTGGGTTGTGGGGTGTGTGCTGGCCCGTCCTGGTGGCTGCCTGCCGGGGCCTGGGTGCCCTGGCTCTGTCGGGTTTCTGTTGGGGGGTGGTATGACCTCGGGACTCCGGGCTCGGTGTCCATGGCTGGATCTACTCTGAAGGGGCGGGTTGCTGGCGGGGCCTGTGGACTCGTCACTGCAGCCTCCTGGGGTTTCTGCATTGTGGTTGCAGGGGATCTCCTGGGGCTTCCCTTTGCTTCTCTATCTGGGGGGTGCGGGTGTCCCTGTTGGGGGACTCCCGGAGCACCGGGCTTGGGGACCACTGTGTGTCTGTGGCTCCGGTCTTCCCTGTGTTATCATCATGTCCTGTGGGGATGGGTCTGTGGGTCCCCACACCCACTGTTGAACATTTTTATGGAGAAACCTTATAGTGACAAGCATGCTCACACAGGTGTTTATCAGATACACACTCAGTTGGGTTGTGGAGGCTACTAAATACATCTTGTATTACCATGTACTGTATAAAATACTTTCTAATGATGTTGTAAGTATCATTATATATGTTGTTTGTTGTTGTGGTTTCACGGTTTTGTCTTGTTTTTTTTCCGCAGGTCTAGAGGCAGACTTCAATGATGTTGATTTGTGTTCTATTTATCCCTCTCTCTCTCCTCTATTCCTATCTCCTTCTTTACCTTTTAACTCTTCTCTCACTTTTCTGCTTTGTCATCTTCTTTGTTTTTCATCCCCATGTCCATTACATCTGAAACAAACCCAAAGCAAATTCTAATAAAGTTTTATTTATATATCAAGCAGAGCATTAATGCCAGCCATAATACTCTGCTTGTGAAAGTAAATCTGTTGGGTATCACTTTGACACTCAGACAATAATTCTGAGTGCCACAATGCCGGACAGGACAAGGGAGAAAAAAAAGGAATTGAATAAGTAAGTTCTCAATTATCGTGGGGTTTAGTACTCTTTCCCAGTCCTTGTGTGTAGTCAAGAATGAGTGCAACTGTAAATATCTGAAGAAATCACTTTTTTGGAGATGAAATTGCCTGCATAATTCTTCGAATGACATGAGGTTGTTCCTATTGACTAACTGATGTAGGAACGTGAGGCCCTGTTCAGCCCATTTTGAAAAAATTTTGTCTAAGAAATTGGGAGTGAAGGATTTAATATGTCCAATACTTGTTAATATAGATAAGCCTCTTGGCAACTTAAAATCAACTCTTACTTTGTTCCATATGTTGTGTAGTTCTAGTCCACAGTGGCAGTTCCTTTATTGGAATATCTAAAAATGGCAATACCTTTATCGATTCAGAGCACTTCATTTGTTCAATGCTCAGCCATCTTGTGTGAGAATCCTCCTGGATCCATGAGATTAAAGGCTTTAACTAGACAGCCCAGAAGTAGTATTTTAAAATGGGAAGATCAAGACCCCCTTCTGCCTGGGTTCTCTGAAGTGTTTTATATTTTTTGTGAGGGAGCTTGCTCTGCCAAATGAATTTTGATATCATTCTATCCAATTCAGTGAACGTGGATTTTGGTATACCAAATGGTAACATTTGGAACAGGTACAATAATCTTGGCAAAAGATTCATATGAATGGTTTCAATGCGACCTAAACGAGACAAGGGCAAGATTGACCACCGCTCTAGGGTTTTCTTAATTATATCCAGTGTTTTACTGTAGTTGGCATGGTACAAATCATTTAATGAAAGAGGGATATTGTTGCCTAGGTATTTAATGTCTTCTCTAGGCAACCTAAAGCTGCTTTGTTGTTTTACCCCTAGTGAGATATTGCAATCGACATCCATTGCCTCGGTCTTATCAATGTTTATTTTATTTCCAGCAAAATACCATTACTCAGAAATCATTTCTTTCAAATGTGGTATTGATAATGTAGGATCGGACAGATACAGAAAGACATCATCTGTGTAACGAGATATTTTATGTTCCTCTGTACCAGTCAAAATCCCTTTGATTTCATCATTGTCCCTAATGAGTTGGGCCAATGGCTCAATGCTAATTGCAAACAACAGGAGTGACAATGGACACCCCTGCCTACATCCAAGCTCCAGCTTGAAACTAGCCGACCTGAAGCCATTAACTCTCACAGCCGCTTGTGGGGATGAGTATAATTTATCCAATTTACAAACTTGGGTCCGAATTTAAACCTCTAACATTTGAATAAGGTATTTCCATGACACATGATCAAAAGCCTTTCGGCATCCAGATATATTACAGCTGTCATAGCTTTATTTTCTTCTTGGTGAGATATAATATTTAATAAACGACGTAAATTATTTCCATAATGCCTCCCAGCAATAAACCCGGTTTGATCTGGATATATGATTTGAGTTATTATGCTGTTTAAGCGTCTAGCCAGAATACCTGTCAAAATACGTATGTCCCCATTGAGCATAGATAATGGTCTATATGATCCATGGTCAGTGGGGTCCTTACCTTCTTTTTGCAATACAACTATTGTTGCATTAGACTAGGATGGTGCCATTGTTTTAGTTTCTAAAGAATGGCAATATGCTTCCTGTAAAAGTGGAGTAACTATCTGTGAAACATTTATAGAACTAATTTATGAAACCATCCAGACCAGGACACTTATTATTTTTAAGGGATAAAATAGCTTTTTTGATTTCTCCTTCTCGAATCA